ATTGGCACACAATGTAATGAACCAAACTATCTATTATGTTTGTCTTTAGTGGAGATCTACGTATAATACGCAAACCTTGAAGTCGGGTAAAAAAAAAGGCCGGGTCGTCTAGGTATCTACTTGGGCTGTGATTAGTAGAAATATGTATATTTTATGGTCGTCATCTATAACGAAGTTTAGGCAGTTGTGCTTTTGTCCTTCTAAAGTAGAGTGATGAGATTTAGTAGAACCCTGCTTTCAATAGTTTTCGGGATAATATTGTAGGTAGAAAACTACAATATTTTGAGAACAAAATAAGTAAATATTTGATGAAATAGTTAGCTGTATAATATAATTACTAAAATATCGAATCCATAGTAAATTAGTAGTCATTTTTATACATATGCAAGGCTTCTTTTAAATTGGGCACACAAAAATATCTAGAATCCATTCCTTTATAACATAACAGATGACAAATAAATATTTAAATAAATCTTTAGATGTATATTATAATTACTAAAATATTGAAAGCATATTAAATTAGTAGTCACATATATTACTTGAAGGTGAAGGACAATACAAATTTGCTATTATACCTATTATATTGGAAAATACAGATGAACTATGAACAATTTTTCATTAATACTAGCGTTTCAATACAATTAATCCAATTTAATTTTAACAAAAAACATACACATAATCCCAAGTTGGCCATAAATAAAGGGTTATAGAGGTAGATATTCTAAGAAAAATCAATAGATCGAGAGATCGACACGATACACCTTCGTCTCCTGATTTTCTTTACCAAAACTCAAAGCCGCTATTGCGATACCTACCTACTTAACCGCAAAATTATATTTCTGGCGTAGGTCTTTTTTGTATTTAGGTAAAAACAGTATTAAGTCCAAAAATTAACTATTGCACATATAGTTATGATTCCATTTTAAACGTCACGTCACGCGCGAACCCGGCGAGATAAGTATCATAACTCTGTAATTTTTTTTGTATCATTGTATTTATACACGTTATATGGGGGATGTTATTTCATATTGGATATAACAAAGAATAATCAACAGTGTAGCCATTTAGGGTGACAAGTTGCCAAAATGATGATTTTTTTGTCTCTATGAGAGTGTGACGGCGATTTTCAATAAACGCCAATTTTTAACGACTTTTTATAGGTGAAAAATTTTTTGTATTCATAGAAGCCTATCAATATTTCCATACACGTCTTATACAGTAGATAGGAAAAAATAACAATAATTATTTTTGTTATTAGGTACCCCTCATGGAAACGCGGACGTAGAAAGAGTATTTTCAAATAAGTTAGATGTAAAAAAAAACAAAAATAATAAAATGAGTATTGAATTATTGAGGGGCTTATTGGAGGTTAATTTATATTTTAAAAAATAAATAAAAATTGATGTTTTAGTTATGAAATCAGCGAGAAAAAATTCACAAAAATGTATAATATTTATAAAGATGCATCAAAAACCAGGAAAAATTATATCAAGTTCAGATTCAGACGGTGAATCATATTAAAACAATTTTTTTTATTAAATATTTATTCTTTGCGTATTATGCTTTTTTTCCCAAAAACACATTTTTTCTTTAATATTAACAGTTTTCCGACCCGAATATCCCAAAAAAAGCTGTAGTAGCAAAGTGGTGACTTTTCATACTGCTCGATAGCGACTTTTTACTTTGTTACTCTAGCAGCACTGATAGTAAGTCAGTCGCCTCCTATGGTCTCCGGTGGTTAGAAGTTAGGAGCTACGATTATATGAATACCAAAAGCTAAGTGTTGTCAGCCGAAACATAAGTATGTAGGGTCTGATTACAATTAGAAAAACACAGCTACGTCATCATTTGCCAAAGAAATTAATTGGTTACCGCCGCCTACTGGAGGTTTAGTAAAGTATTAATTTTATAGGAAATATTGTTTTATACCTGATAACTTAGTCACTTTTTATTTATTTATTGATATTTTATAGATATGTACTCGAAATTCAAAATAATGGTTATGACGTAACGGTGTTCTTCTAATTATAAGCAGACCCTACCTATTTAACGCTTTACTTAACTTATTAACAAATTAGGTAGTCATTTTTAAATAAAAAGAAATGGCTGTGTTCGATTACTTTTAACATTTTATCGCAATTTAGCACATAATGTTGGTACACGTATGCTATACTTGCCGTTGTTGAGGTACTCGGAATTACTAAGTAGGTAATTGACTTAATTGCCTAACAAAAATTGTACACATTTATTCCACATTTTTAATAAAACATACCTTTTAATATCGATACCTTTTCGGCAGACTATTATTAGGGTCATTTGAACAAATGAGGGTTACGTTACTCTGGTAAAAAGTATCGATATAAAGAAATTTTACTTACTACCTACAATATAAAAACCAATTACTCGTACTCATTACAATCCAATATAATGTACCTCTGCACCTTTAACAAAACAACAATACTTTTAATTGTTTAAATGAATACATAATTTTTTTATTTCGTTATATTCTATGATAAAAAATATGTGAAATTCCAATTTATTTCCTTATACTCCTCTTGAACGGTTTTTGATAAAAAAACAATAAATTTGAGGATAAATACAATATTTATTATTAAATATGCGCCTTAAAAGGTATGTGGGAACGCGAGGAAATTAAAATCGCAGGCGTAAAAGTTGTAAAAATTGTTAAAATTGGTTTCCACCCCATTCTAAACATTTTTTTACCTTCGTACGATGGTATGTGTACGGGATCTAGTGGTTGATTGGGGCGGTATCGAATGGGGTGCTGGGCGTACTATTTCTTAGCAATCTTCTTTACTAATTAAAAGATGTTTTGGAATGTAATTACATATGAGAATAATTAATTGTTCTTTAATGAGTAATCTAAGTACCTACCTCTCCGATACTAAATACTATATGGATTATAGTACATACCTATTTGAATTGTTTTTTCATACTTAACGTCTACACTTCTCGAGGCAGACCATCTAACTGATACTGAGGATCTTCTTGCAGTTCTTACCACCCCTATATTAAATAAATTTGAGCATAATGTAATAAGCAGGGAAACCTTAGAATAAGTGGGTATTTTTGAGGATTTTTGTAACGCACATGTTTTCAAGAAAAGTCAGTTTTTTTTAGATAGCGGTAGCACACCCAGCATGACTTTTCTGTCTAAAAGTTTTGATGTACGAGGCGGCCTTTGTGCTATTTTCGCAAAGGCCGCGTCGCGTCTTTTATTTTTGTAAGACAGACACATTTCTAATCACAGCAACGCCATTCAAATAACGATGACGCTTCATTGTATGTATTTTAAATGGGGAATCTCAACTGTGACCTCCGCCAAAAATACTACAAATATCGGTTCGAGAAAAAATGGGAACATAAAAATTTGTCGGCGGAAGGTACACAAACTATGTGTTTTCATTAATAACATATTTATTTCTTAATTAATATGAGCATATAATACATAAAAAATAAGAAAAAAGTGTGATCCTCATTGAAACAGAGAAAAATGCAATATTTTTGACGTAGGAAAAAG